ACTGGTTGAGCGAGGGGCGGGAGCAACACGGAGGGTTGCGATCCTGTGGCCGGTCCCGGTCCGGTACGGGCGCGACACTGAGGGTTGCGATCCGTTGCCGGTCACGAAAAAAGACAAAAAGGAAAAAAAAAAAACAAAAAACAAAAAAAAACACCATTTTAAAAAATATGAACCAGTGGCTGGTTTGCTCAGTTGGTTAGAAAGTGGTGCTAAAAAATGTGTAATAGTTCTTTTTAGGGATGCTATACTATTAACTATGATACTGTACATTCAATTTTGTAACCCACATTTATGAAAAAAATTTTACATGTATTAAAATGTAGAAGAGCACTTATTATGTCCTTATTTTCAGTGTGCTTTTAAAAGGTAGCCAATCACATGTGTTTTGAACTGAGATTAGTAATTGGAGGAGAAAAATATTTCTTCAGTCATCCAGGAATATATTAGTAAGAATGTCTGTCCTTCCATTCTTCCTTCATCTCTTTCTCCCTCTTTCCTTCTCTCCCTCCTTCCATCAGTGCTTTTGATGAATAATGCCAAATGAGGAATTTCTTTTGGAAGCATTAGCAAGAAAACTAGATAATGTTATAATTGTTCCTGGCACCTTATCTGTTTCTTTCCCAAAATTGTCATTCCTAAGGTAACAAGACAGTGTTGATTTTTTTTGTGGGTTTTTAAAATTTTTTATTTTTTTTATTTTATTAATGCAAGACAGAAAGTGATTACATGGCTTCTTTCTCTCATTCTCTTGGTATTTGTTGATATTACTTAAGGTTTACTCTTTTGAGTTTGAAATATAATTAAGGGATGAGCTTATAGCAAAAGTGCCTAACAACGAGGAGTTTAAAGTCACTTACCTTTTGACCAGATTTCTATTCACTCCATGAATTTTATTGTGTAATGAACAATAACAATAAAGCCTCCATTGTCTTTTACCATATCTAATGTGTGACAAATGTACTACTTAAGATAATGGCTCTAAGTTGTGCTTATATCTTCTTAGGTTTACCATAGTTACTTTTGGCCTTTGGAATGGACAGTTCCATCAAGAGATAACAACAAATGCTACGCAAAAATAGTCTGTTATATTAAAGACAATGTAAGTGCAATTCTCACTTCATCCTTGCCAATAATTTCATTTAATTTTAATATGTAGCTCTATTTTGATCATAGGATATGTACAGCATTCCTTTAGTATCTCACCTGTCACTCTCCCCAGCAGCATGGACATTATCAGAGGTCACTGCTTGGCCCCACTGCTTGCTCGTGCTTCACCTTCACTGGCGTAGGGAGGGCCCTACACACAGTTGGCAGGCAGTCAAAACTTACTAGGGAAGGAACCAAAGGGACAACTTGAGAACTTTCTGTGTTTGTTTTTATAAAAGAGGAGCAATGAAGTCATCGACTGTCTAAAAATAATGGACAACAGGGCCGGCCCGTGCCTCACTCGGGAGAGTGCGGTGCTGATAACACCAAGGCTGTGGGT